AATGAAAAAAATCTATTACAGTTGAACTGCAGATTTGTTAAACAATATTTACGTATTCTCAGCTATCTAACAAGGTATAATAGTCTAGGATAGTATCAGAATTCATAGAAAAAACTTACATGAAAGACCGAGAGTGTTAAGAATTATCTGTATATATTAAATGTTTCGGCAACAGGTAAGGTTTGCCGAGTTTTTGCTGTATGGTGTAGATGAACTACGACTTTCTGTAAAAAAAACATGATTTGTGTTTCATTTGCATTATGACCAATTAATTATGTAAAGTGTATGTAATGACTTGTCCTAAGCTTCTAAAAGTATGATAGGTACATATATCATACTTTTAGAAGCTTAGGACAAGTCATAGAAAACTGCTAAGAAGTATACAGACACTATATAGGTACTAGTGTCTGGATACTTTTTAGCAGTTTTTGTATCTTTTATACAAATTTGATACAAAAACTGCTAAGAAGTATACAGACACTAGGTACTAGGTACTAGTTTTTGTATCTTTTATATCTTTATTATTAAAATATCTGTTACATGGTTTCTATATTATAGGGCCCCAGTTCCAATGGCAACCCAATATTCATTATTTCCTAAGAGTTTCTAAACACATTACTACAGTCGCAACCCAACACAAGTGATTATGAAATACGTAGGGTGCGTACGTACGGGCACGCGCTCATCGCGGCGGTAAGACCCGTTATGGAGGATTGGCTCGAGAGGCGTCACGGGACCCTCTCATACCGACTGACACAGGTGATCACTGGGAAAGGATGTTTCGGGGATCACCTGTGTCTGATCCGCAAGGAGCCAACGCCTGAGTGCCACCACCGCGATGGCCAGACCGTGGACACGGCTCTCCACACGCTGGCAGAGTGCCCGGCGTGGGTTGAGCAGAGGCGAGACCTCGTGGCGGCCATCGGAGTGGGAGTTCTCTCGCTCGATAGCCTGATTGCGGCTATCGTGCGGAGCGAGAGTGCGTGGAACTCTGCCGTCTCCTTCTGCGAGCAAGTTATGCTCGCGAAGGAGACGGCGGAGCGGGACCGGGAGAGGTTTAGGACTCTCCCGACCCGCCAGGCCTGGGAACGGCCAGGTACCACAGGCGACTCAGGCGCCGGAGGTCGCAGAACGACCTCCGTCCTCCATAAGCGCAGGCCTGGGGGTGACAGGTGAGGCCATCTGTTCAGGGGGTCGTCTATTCGTCTGTAGATGACACGAGGTATGTCGGGGCACCAGGGACTTCCTTTCTAGGGTATACCTGGTTCCCCGGCTATTAGTACCCGTGCGGTTTTAGTCGGTTCGTGTCCGACATGCCACCGACAGGTGGTATCCGAGGGGATTTCCGCACGGAAAAAAAAAGGGTGCGTACGTAAACGGTAGGTACGATAATTTAATACTTACCTACTGTAATGTACGTTCTCGAACTGTAGTAGTATTAGAAAAAATATTTCATCTAAATGCCAGCATAACTACTAGAGGTGCCCAAAAAATGTTTTCAAGATTTTTAATTTTATCACTTCGTCGGCGTGATTAGTATATGTGCTCATGCGAAATTACAGGTTTATAGCACTAATAGTTAGTGAGATATAGTGTAGACAAACCGAGACTGACCTGGAGAGCGCAAGCTTTTTATCGCTTCATGAGCAAGAAATGATGTGTTAAGTTATTAGCTGAATTAAAAATAGTTTTTATATTTAAATGGCATAATGACTCAAAATTAACAAATTTTAATCTAATAAAGATTGAAATAAAGACTATCATACTGAAAACGAATAATAACTAATTAACAACAAACATTAAAATGCATGTGATTCACGTGGAATCAAGGCCTAAGGCAAAGTAGGCACGTGCTTAGGGGCGCGAGGTTACAAAGGAGGAAGTCCCCTCGTTTGCCGGCGTTGCCTAAATCAAAGTTTTTCTTTAAATACTTCCTTAAATATAAAAATTCTGATTTGCGCTCATATGCATTAAGGTCTTGGTGACAGAATTCTTTAAACTCGTCAGAATCGATTGTTGTTAAGTGAGAAAAAACACTAAAAGATTGCAAATTTGTTAATGTGCTGCCAAACGTTTTTTCGAATGTGCATAGAATGTATCGATAAACGTATCTACATGAAAATTTTCTTTGCCATGCAACTGTACAGTCTCATGATGTGCTGCGAATTATTTTCCTTTGAGACTTATCTTTATTCAACAGCGACACATTCACCAGCCTGAATTTAGCGAGTGCAAATTTACAATTTTCTTTTATTCTTGACTGAACACCTGTTTTCTGTTTTACCAACTTTATACTAGTTTTTCCCACTTCTCAGGTGTTGTTAGGTCGGAAGCTACATGCACCAACTTAAAAAAACGTTTAGCAAAATACGGACTTTTTATATGCTCAATTTATTATCTATTTGACCATTATTTTTTTAAAGTTGTAATTATATAAAAAAGGTACATAGAATTACTGAAAATGAAGAAAAACCAGACCATAAGGCGATTGGCATAAGGCCATAAGGCAATAAAAACGTTTAGATGGTGGTGAAACGTGGAACTACCCATTTCCTACCTGGAAAGTTTACTGGATGTCATTGGCTCGTCATTGCTAAGGGTTTCCAAGTCGCTAACAACGCCCCAATTTAGTTAAACACGGTACTGCTTGTGGCAAGGCGCACGGTGAGGGCCACGGCACTAGAACGGACACGGGGAACCTGAACGGGCCTGGTAATACAGGCGGCTCAGGCACCAGAGGTCTCTGAACGACCATCATCCTGGATAAGAGCAGGCTTGGGGGTAACATGTAAGGCCATCTGTCATCAGCTATCCACTACCGAAATTGTCAAATGTTATAGCGTAATCGTATTTTCATTGTATGTATTTTGGTTTTGGTGAGAAAATAAACGATATTATTATATATATCAAAAACAAAATAAAGGTCCGAACGTCTTAATAAAAGCTGTAATCGGATCCCTCCTATTTCAAGCGCAGTTTACACACCGTGTGGTTTTAGTCGATTCCATTCCGATACACTGCAAATCTTCGGTGTGGTGACAGCCCAAGGGCGTTTCCATAAGTAAAGAAATTAAGTAAAAATGTTGTAGTAAAGACCACGGTAGGGGTGATTCCCTCGGGCCCACTCGACCTATGAATATCGATGAAAATCAACTTTACGTACTAATTTATAAGAGAACCAGATTTCCGGCATAAAGCTCTAGTACCGCGGTGTGGTCAGCGGTACGTTTCCTCCGTCATCCAAAGTAGAGTTGGATGTAAAGAGTTCGCCTAGGAGATCGGCTTCCTCCTTCGCAGGAGGCATCATAGGCTAACGTATTATCGCCCATCTGCAGGGGTGGAAGGGATTGGCTACAGAAATTCCCCTGGACAGTCTTGGCAACAGACCAGAATGCACGAGTCCCAAAAAGGAAGTCACATGAGCCTCTTACCGATCGGGCTGATTTGCTCTGATTTCGCCCTGACAATGGCTCTTTTGAGGGACATGGAGGCAAAGTTGTATTACTTTTTTAGCGTGCTGGTATTTACATCTCATACTCGTACTGTCGCTGCATTAGCCTATGCTTGGTAACATTTCTGCTTTCGGCGGGACGCCGTTTTGCAGGATCTGTTGAACCAAGGCTTGGATCTGCCACCGATGGGAATGAATGTAGATGGAACGAATAGTTCCATGCCCTGAAGCACTACATCAGTGACAGAATCGGCAACAACGTGTCCAGACTAACCGCACAAGCCTCTTACTTGGTCTCGATCGCCTGCTTACAACATAAAAACCATCAGCTGCCAAAAGTTCAAGTTAGTAGCCCCAGTGGTTGATGCTGTGCGTTGATGAATAAGTCATTTAGCCATGGCAATTAATTTTATACGTATAGAATTACTTGCCATGGCTTTTAGTCTTAGCTTTAATATACAAATCCATGTTTTTTTCTTAAACTCTTGCAAAACTTATAAAGTTTGCATTTGTAAACAGAAGCAGCCGGACAAAATTATGTGTTTTAAACTTTGAAAATGACACCCTCCCATCCCTTATTTTACCCCCATTTGACAGGTGACATTTCCAAAAATCCTGTCTTAGTCAATGCTTACAACAAAAACATCGGTTGCCGAAATTTCAAGTTTGTAGTCCCAACGTTCTAGGCTCTGTGTGGATGAATCAGTAAGGGCTAGTAATTTTATATGTATATAACATTTTGTTTATTAATGCGGCTGACGACTGTGCTTCTATATCTGCAGGCTGGAACGTGCCCGATGTAATTTTATATGTATATAAGATTTTGTTTATTAATGCGGCTAGTATGCGGCTGACGACTTTGCTTCCTTAAAGATACCATGTATAAAAATAAACTTTGTGTTACCATTAGAATGACCTTTTTTTTTGCAATGAAAGTCATATTCAAAGTGATTAAGTAATAGGAAAACAAAATCGATTAGTGCCTTAAATCTTAGTAATGGTGCAACTGTATATGAACTGTTATTGTTAAGTAGGTATTGCGATAGGAATTAACAAAACAAGTTAAGGTCAAAGTATTAGTTATAGCAGGTTCTAAACGCATCCCATACGTAGACAGCGCTCCTAGTGGCAGACATATTGTACTAATTTGTCAAAATAGGATATAATGCGACTAGATGCAAAGGAGTGTGTTAGAGTGCCAATCGTAATCGGACCTCTCGCTTTTTTTTCCATGTTGCGCTATATTAGCCTTTTCTGTCATTGGCCAGACAGTGTTTATGTAAATTGTCATAGTAAGACCGCGAGGCTATGTACCTACGTAGTAACATCGCTTACGTTCATGTTTTTTAAGAAGAAAAACGTTAAAATCTGTGCACTATCGTAATATCAATCGAGAAAATGTTAGGTGGCACTGCGCCCGTCGTGATTCAATCCAGGTGAAACACGCGCGGCGACTGGGAATAGGAAAACGTGGTGCGTCCAACACGAGCTTGCGGTTGGTGTAGTTTGTTATCAAACAGCGAGTAGCGAGGTGGAGGCGGCGAGGACCATGGCGGAGGCGGCGCCCGGGAAAATAAAGAAGGAGGGTTGGCTCCAGAAGCGTGGCGAGCACATTCGCAACTGGCGCGATCGCTACTTCATACTGTTCGACAATGGGGACTTGGTCGGGTTCAAGACTCAACCGGAGAGGAATAACTACCGCGACCCCCTGAACAAGTTCACGGTGCGCGACTGCCAGATCATGGCAGTGGACAAGCCACGTCCCTACACCTTCACCATACGCGGGTTGCAGTGGACCACCGTCATCGAACGCAATTTCTCCGTTGAAACCGAAAAAGAACGGTGAGTGGTGTATTGCATGATCAGATGTGTAACGATGTGTACTGCGAGTAGTGTAAGTTAGGGGTAACTGGTCTCTAAGTGTGTTGTAAAAAGTTAGTTCCTAATGGGCTTGTCGGGTTCTGTGTTGATGAGAATAAGGATATTGTTTATCAGTTTCTTCTGCATTTTCCCGTTTTTTAAATGTTGTTTTGATTAGGCATTGAATTCTCTTTTTACAGATTATTTGCTTAATTTAACACTAATATAATATAGTTAAGTATTTAGTGGGGCCTTTAAGAGGGTTTGACTATTTCTTTCAGTAATTTAGAGGAAATACAAATTGTTCCTAAACATAATATCAATATGGTATGTATGTTAAACATGAGGCTAGCCTCTTGATGTTTACCTATGTACCAACTGTCACTATGTACTGAATGAAAGCAAGCTAAAAATAACTAAACTAACATCAACTAATAATCTTTTAGAAATTATGGGGAGAAAATAATGCACAAGTCAGGATAAGGTGCCAATTATTGTTCAATGAACATCTCAATATGAATGTGACATGACAACTCGTAAGTTATGTATAATAATTATTATCATTTTACAAGAATGTATTTATATATTGATATTTTATTTTAATTAAAACTTAATGACATGGGGCATTCTCTCCCAGTCAACCTTCTGGTGACATAGAAATATGGTGCGGTAGGTGTGAAATAAAATATTAAATTTAACATAATTGAAGTCCAGAGACATACACAATATACAATAAACACACATACATACATAAATTTAATAAAATATATAAATACTCAGTTAGTGTTGTGACTGTTCTGCTAATTCACTTTGAAGAAGATTGCTCACTTTTGTCTTGAATGCAAGGTGGTTTGTGGACATCCTGATTTCGGCAGGGAGGGCATTCCAGAGAAGAACTAATTATGTCTTATATTCTACCATAACAAAAGTTTTACGGATACTGTTTTTATGTAAAACCTAGCGACATAATATAGACTACAATGTTTATTAGTAATTAACATTCAGGTGTTCTATTAAAGACAAGGTTATTCACAAAGGCACTACAGCACTTTTGAAGCTGGTCTGTTTTCTGTATCTCCTCTGTAGCAGATGATACAATGCAGAAAAAGAAAGGATTGGGGGACTATCTGATGCAAAATTATTTATTTGACAGTCTCAGACTAGCAATAGATAGCCAATGTCACTTGTTGGAGTTTTAAGACAGGTTCCTGCAACATTTACCGACAGGTTCTCTTTCTGTCTGGATCTGTTGGAAAGCAAGGAGTTGCTCATCACTTCCACTGGTACTCATGTACTGGTACTGCTTTCATGGTATTATATTAATTGTTTTGTTTGTGTAGATGATGTAACCAGCTGGTTTTACCTAACATACATTTGATGTTTTGCTGTAGGATATCACAATGTTCCTCTTGTTGATTGCCTACTCAACAGTATAATTATAATGTGCACAAACATGTTTGTTTATTGTTGTTGTCAGATTATAATCAATTAATTAGCTCACTAACTTGTTTCTAATAATACACATTAGGAACAAACACTACCTTTTATAGTAAAGTGCTGATATTTTTTTAACTAAGTCAAGAATTTACAACATCTATGTACCTCCTCGTTGGAGATAAGAGTGAAAGTTATTTTCTAAAATTGTACTGAAACTTTCAGTTATAGTTATGTTTATTTAGAACAAGGGCACATTATTTTAGTTAGATGTTATTTCTATATTTATAAAAATGACATTGCCACTAACAATAATCCTAGCAAATGTCACTGAATCATGCAAATGTGTTTGTTTATTAAGTTGACGAAAAATAACAGTTAAAAGATATTACCACTTCACCGTTGAAATGAATCATATCAATAGTGAAAAAAAACAATTGACGAGGGAAACCCATAACAATCTTGTAAAATTAACAATATCAAATGCTTAAAAAATAGGTTTTTTTAATTGGCCATCTAAAGTCTCCACTAAAGAGATTATTTAACAATAAGTATCACCTAATGAGTTGTATAGCTTACTTAGACTCGACAAGAAACCTGACCTGACCTTATTGATCTACAGTCAATAGGATCAGGTCAGGTTTCTTGTCACCTTTGGTACCAAACCAGGGAGCTGAAATTTAATAGTCAGGTGGTTTTCATTATGTTTTCTGCCTCATTTACCTCCTGCAAAAATAAATTCGCCATTCATGCACGCCATGAAACTCACATAGTGATAATTTAAATATATGTATTTTGTTTATTCCCAAAGATTATTTTATTTTTTCAAAGATTAGTATGTTGTGGGTGTTGATGCAGAAGTAAAAAGAGCAAAGAATCTCCTGGTCCCGTGACAGTTTGCCTAATCTTGATAGATTTTAGGATACATACACACAAGGAGCTCCCTACCAGAGATATGAAACTGTTAATAGTGATGCTGCACTACATCAGCATCTGATATATGATATTTTGTTGTAAAGTTCTAGAAGATGTGTGCCTTAGTCACGTCTAACCTTTCAGCTTTATTCGGAGGTTCTCGATGCTTATTTTATGTCAAATGCATTAGTTAGTGAGTGTATAACGATGAACGTGGTATGTGCAGCGAGGAGTGGGTGGCGGCGATCCGCTCCGTGTCGCAGCAGCTGAGCGTGGGCGGCGCAGGCGCGGGGGTCGCGCCCGCCTTCGGCGCTCCAGCGCTCGGCGGGGGCGCTCCTCAAGACTGTGACGACAACGAAATGGCACAACTCGGCACCAGCTTCCGGGATCCGCGCCGTGTTGTAAGTATCTCACTTAATGTTTAAACTGCTAGACTGATGTCAGGAATGTCTGCTCATTAAAGGAGCACGAGCCTTCACAGACAAGGAAATAACAAGGCCCGCTAAGGGCGCTCTCACTTTGTGAATGGGATCATAACAGAGTCAGTAGCTACAGTTTTCTACGTTTATTATTGCAATGATTATAATTATTTCTCCTAATATACTTCTCAGAACCTGTGCCTGCTTCCTCGTGCAAAAAAATATATGTATCACTGTAAAAATTCATTTTTATAGTGATACATATATTTTTTGTTCGTTAGTCTCGCTAAGACTCGAGAATGTTATTTCCCCACGACTGACCCGCGCGATATACCTCGTCTGCCTCTCTCAAAAGGAATCATTTTTCTTTGATGCTCGGCTCCATTTTATAATATTATATCAGTATAGATACAATAGGAGAGGCCTTTGTCCAGCAGTGGATTGCGATAGGCTGATGCTGATAGATACAAAACGTTTCTTCCTGATAAAGATGATCGTCCCATCGTTTTTAAGGAAAACTCGGCAATTAAAAACATAAATATTAAATAAAGATTACTATTTCTAAATATATAAATGATGACGAGCAGATGTAGGTGACACGAAGTTCACCGGATCTCTAGAAAATAAATAAATGTAGTAGTATGCAACCCAAATTAATAGCGTTATTTGAAAACGCTAGACCATATTTAAAGCGTAACGATAAAACGTTATCCTTGTGTAGTGATAGGTGTGATATTTCGGCGAACAGGAGAATGCATGCGTTAGTCACTGCCGCCGGGCACCGCGCCTTGACCCGCGGCCCAACAACTTAGACACATCTTTGACTTAGCTAGGTATCTGCTCCACACTATTTCGCTCTTTGGGCCACGTTCTCACCAATGTTATCTCGTACTTAAGGATAATATTAAGATAAATACTAACAAATTCGACTGCTCTCTCCAGTTTAATGTTTGTGACTCACAGTATTTTGACAAGAGCTTTTTCCTGATCGCTAAATGTGTAGGTACGGCGGTTCGTTGTACAGCGTTGATGACTCACTTGTTTACCACTAGTTGGGTAATCACACGTTGTTGTCATATGAACGCACCATTTGTATGTGCACTGTGAACAAACACAACGGGTCACGAACCGAGTCCGCTGTTCTCGCAACTTGGATGTGAGTGCACAATATTAACAGCAATGGCATTACATTTGAGATTGAGCATCCTTCATTATACATTAATTTGGTACCTTTCCCTCTACACAGTTACAGATAATGACTTAATAATAAGAAAATGTTAGGATGTTTTATGGGTACCATAAAAACACACTTTGTCGTGTAAACGACTGTAATTAAATAAAGGCAATCTATTTTTGCATCAGAACGTATATTGTCTTCACTCATTGTTAAATGTATTACCCAACAGCTCCAGTAAACTTGTATAAAGCATTGTAATTGTTGTTGGACGTTGCGAATAACGAGAAGCAATCGGGCCATTCCCATGCTTTTCGATATGAGCGCAATTTTCCGTAACGACGGAACACTGTTGGAATATAAATTGAACAAAATGGCAATTGAACAAAGATTTCTCAGCGGTTTCTCTCGGGCCAGTATTTCCTGAATCATTAGAAATTACCAGATAATGTAGGGTGTCCGCCACGAATAATATTGAGCAGTTCCTTAAAATTCCGTTGTTGGTCATCGCAACGACAATCCAATAGATCCAGTCTTCTCGCGGCTGCAATAAGTCTAGGGTAGATATTATTTGTGTAACTTAGCAGACATGCTATTTCAAACTGACCGATACATTTAGGTAATATGGCGACAGGCTTAGGCAAATACCTAGAGTATCACACAGAAAAGAGTACGATCCTTAGTGGCGTAGGTTTATTTATTGTAGGTAGATAGGTTTATTTAGTGGAAACCTACAGGGAACTATCCTGAAGCTCTCTTTGAACTTTAGGTACTTAGCCACAGCCGCTCGAGCTCTGTACAAGCTCGCTCCTAATCTGCATAAAGTCAAAACCCTTTTTGCTCTGCCCATCCGCCCATCCGTGGTTTAGCTTAGAGATGGTGAGAACAAGAAAGCTGTAATTTGTGCATGGCTATATATAGCTAACTATTAGGGGTTAAAGTATGAAATTGCCAATTCCTACTGATAAATTAAAACTCGTTTAAATAAGATGTAACACATTTACTTAATCAAAATATTTACCCTCATTATCTATAAATTGCTGCCATCTAAATGGAAGTTCATTTTCGCCTTTACGATAGAACTCTTGGGATCTAGATTTGACAAACTGTGTGAAATCATTTTGTAGTGCCATGTAGAATAATGTTCAAATCACGAGAAAAATGGTAGTCCGTTGGAGCAAGGTCTGGCGAGTACGAACTGCAGCTCCTGTAGAGTTACAGCGATTTCTCGTGCAGTGTGAGGTATTGCGTCATCATAGAGCAATAATGGTGAAGATCGATTCACGGGTCGGGGCTGTTTCACTGCCAGTTTTGCCATCATTGTTCGAAGTTCGGGACAGTAAACATCTGCTGTTATTGCCTGTCCAGACCTGAGAAAGCTATAGTGAATAACACCATGAAGAGAGCATCAAACAATTACCATTAAATATTTATTGGTAAGCTTTGCTTTTGGGCACTGTTGCGGCGTTTGAACTGGGTTCAGCTGTTGCATTTTTCATACTTTAACCTCTATTATTAATCACGCCGACAAAGTGTAGGATATCGTGCAGGTACTCGTGAAGTGGGGGTAGTTTTTTATGTTTTAAAATATTGCAGGAGGTGTAAGAGTATTTCTCACTTCAGTCATCCGTCATATTTTTTACTGAGCCTTAACATGTCTCGAATTGTAAGATAAAATACTCAAGGCATAGGCCTTGAGTATTTTATAGTACAATTCGATATGATGTTTAAAAACAACACTGAGAAAATGGTGCGTAGTGGCGTTTTAATGCAATGCCTTGACCAATAATAGTATGTTCCAAGACAATGTAACGTTGAGTTTTACGTGGACGCTTTCCAGACATTGGAAAAATTCGAGTTCGTGAAGGTGCTCGGAAAGGGCACGTTCGGCAAGGTGGTGTTGTCTCGCGAGAAGGGCACCGGCAAGCTGTACGCCATGAAGATCCTTCGGAAAAACCTCATCATACAAAAGGACGAAGTGGCGCACACCATCACCGAGAACCAAGTACTCAAGAACACAAAGCACCCATTTCTCACGGTACGCACTATGTACACACTTATGTAATTATGTATCCCATGCGCAGTCCTTATTCTTTCGGACTTTTCAATGTGTTGTGAGCGGGTGCGGTGTGTCGGCAGGCGCTGCGCTACTCGTTCCAGACGGCAGACCGCGTATGCTTCGTGATGGAGTACGCTAACGGCGGCGAGTTGTTTTTCCACCTGTCGCGCGAGCGCTCCTTCTCCGAGGAGCGCACGCGCTTCTACGGCGCGGAGATCGTATCGGCGCTGGGGTACCTGCACGCCAACGGGATCATCTACCGCGACCTCAAGCTGGAGAACCTGTTGCTCGACAAGGACGGCCACATCAAGATCGCCGACTTCGGCCTCTGCAAGGTCAACATCACGTACGGCCGCACCACGAAGACGTTCTGCGGCACCCCCGAGTACCTGGCGCCCGAGGTGCTCGAGGACACGGACTACGGGCCGGCCGTGGACTGGTGGGGCGTGGGCGTGGTCATGTACGAGATGGCGTGCGGCCGCCTGCCCTTCTACAACCGCGACCACGAGGTGCTGTTCTCGCTGATCCTGAGCGAGGAGGTGCGCTTCCCGCGCGCGCTGTCGGTGGCGTGCCGCGGCCTGCTGGCGGGCCTCCTCACCAAGGAGCCCGCCAACCGCCTCGGCGCGGGGCCCGACGACGCGCTCGAGATCATGAATCATCCCTTCTTCGCCTCCATCAACTGGGCCGACCTCGTCGCCAAAAAGGTAACCTTTCACTTGCGTCATCGTTCGATTTGAGTTGCTTTTACTGTTGTTAATGGTTAAATCGATGATATCTATGGACTACGGTTAATTAAAGTACTCCACAAATACATCAATAAAGTCGAAATGTATTGTGACTTCGGTCGAGCGGCAATATTCTTAGGGTCCAATTTACTTCATATATTTACACCGTCTTAGATCAGGAAATAAAACTTTCTGCTTTAGAGGTTGTAAAATATTTGAATATAATAATTTTTATTGAAAATTATGCGTCAACGCCAACTGTAAAGTTTTCAAACGCACTAGTATTGCGTGGCGGCGGTGTAGCCGTATGTCTGTGTGGAGAGTAAGGGAGCGTGGTCGTGTGCAGATCCCGCCGCTGTTCAAGCCGCAAGTGGAGTCGGAGACGGACACGCGATACTTCGACTCGGAGTTCACGGGCGAGTCGGTGGAGCTCACGCCGCCCGACAACGACTCCAGCCTCGCGCGCATCCAGGAGGAACAGTTCCCGCAGTTCTCGTACCAGGTACGCGCCGGCCCAGGCCGCACGACATTTTATATTTTATTTACTAATTCATGTCACTCAAAGTACACCGGCACTTTGCTTCAGGACATTTGCTCGTCGGCGCACTCCGCGCTGTCGCACCACTCGGCGCTGGGCGACAAGCGCCAGTAGCGCCCCCCCGCCCCCCGCCGCCCCGCCGCCCGCCGCCCCGCCGACCGCCGCGCGCCCGTAGACACGTAAGTGTGCTTGCGTTCCTTACATTAAACGTGTTTAGAGGGACACGTGTGGACAAGGATCTAGGAGGCGAATAAAACACCATAAAATTACAGTATTAATATTGTATTCGATTAAAATAATACAAATAGCCTGAACGTCGAAAACCGTCTTAAACTCACATTATATAACAGACGAGAGCGAGACGACTCTTCGCGGGCACGAGCGCCTTGACGACGTGCTCACGAGGCACTGACGGACGTCGAGTCGCGATCAGCACCGGCCGCAGACACGCGTCCTAACGCATCGCTCCCCACCGCAGGGGGGGGGGGGGGGCGAGACTGGGGGGGGGGCCGCGCGGCGCCGCCGCTCATGTATTTCCTTTTGTATATATTATTAAACGTTAGGATTAAAGCGACTCGTGAGTTTTATTTTTTCAACCCTCGGTTCTGCGGCAACGAAACAATGACTTTCTCTGACGAGCGGCGCTCTGGCCGCCCGCGCGACCGTCGCTCGCGGCGTCCCGAGTGACGGTCGCGTTGATATCGAATATCTTTGATAAACTTTAAAAACGATAACGACGAATAAACTATACACGGGCGCTCCGGACGGTGTGTCGATGTCGTCGCGTCTCACGTCGAGTGTTACCGTCGAGGAGCAGTCCGGTGAGCGAGTGAATGAGTGAGTGAGTGAACGAAGTGCTCTCACACTCGGATATGTTAGTGTTCGTACGAGTGGCCGTTTCGTACCGCGGTGCGATCGTGCCCGACTCGCACCTCGACTATCCGTTTACATACCTGAATACGTGAAAACTCGTAGCGTATAAAAGTCGCAGGGTACAAAACGATACGGGTGCGAGCGGGCCGGGAAGCGCGTCCCCGAGAGGCGATCCGGAGAGCTCGACTCGAAAGACGGAAGATAGCCCTACGGCGAACATACAAAAGGTCGGTCGCACGTGTCGACCGTTAAATCGAAAACGAACGGTGTAAATATTGCTTCCTGAGAACGTTAAACGTAGTCTATTTTAATAGTACATCATATTTTACAAATTCGTTACATTAGCCCGTCGGTATGCGGCGGTGGTCGGTAAGCGTGCGTGGTGCGTGGGGGGGGCGGTGCGCGGGGGGGGGCGGCGGCCGGCGCGGGGCGCGCGCGCCGGGCGCCGCTGCGCGCTACACGAAGTCGCGGCGCCGCGCCGCCGCGCCCCCCTCACCGCCCCCCTCGCCCCCCGCCGGGCTCGTGGGGCTCGTGGGCGCCTCGCCCGGCGTCGTGGCGGGGGGCGTGGGGGCCGCGCCCTTACTCCGCGCCTGTTGACGAAAACACTTATTGAAAATTAACGAAAAAACCCTGCACCCGTACCGTGCGTCTTCAATTTGAGGACACGGTCCATCGAGCCGAACTAACGTTGAACGATAACGAACCGGTCCCACTTCAAACGAGTGTCGAACCTCTGAATCTTTATTGGTCCTCAGGTGAGGAAAATGTTCTGACTTTTGGAGGGACCGAAGGCGGATTTCATAGGTATCGCCTACTGCGTGGCGAGAAGCTAATCACCGAGTCCCTCGCTTGTTGGTGGACGAATATTCGTTAGCTTTGTTTACCGTTCCTGCATTACATGAGGTAATAGAGAAATGGTAAACAAAACTACCGTTAAGTGGACGGAGTTACTTACTATTACTTTACATTGTTAAAGACATAGTTTTAATAATATGTCTTCGGTAGGCAGAATGTCTAAGTTAAATTTATTATATTACTCGACGGTAGATGACGCTGTGCCACCTGGACCTCAATTCTGCTATTTTATGTTTACGCCAAGCCACTGTCATACCACTGACACGCTATTGAGATGCCATCGAGTGGCCATTGGCATCGGCATAAATATCGGTAGTTAAAAATATATTACGTTTTTTGATGAAATGATTTATTTGCTGCAAATTCTTTGGATTTTTTTCTTGAGCAGCAAATTCATGCTCAACCAAGTTATTGACAAAATCTATCAGATTTTTGTTGCAGCGTCCATGGTTAGTGCTATTCTGTTAACTTAAACTTGTTTGTTAAAATACCCAATTCCATATTACCGTTAGAAGTGTAGTGTTCAATAGTTCAATTTTGTTGTTCAATATTTTCATTCCAGCGAATATATCACTATGTATTCGCTTTTCGTGACCCCCGTGATATAAGGGCCCTAGGCACGTTAAGATAAAGACGGTATTGCTTTCACTACAAATATAACAATAGAGAAGACGACCACGGCGTTGTGTGAAATCGACGCCGTTTTAACTCTCGACTTCTCAGGGCATCGACGATGAGCGCGATAATATCACGTAATATAATAAGGCCCATTACATTTCGGGGGAACTAAATCACGTGGTTCCAGTCCTCAGATCCGATAGTCACAGGGACCTGTGGCTGAACGAGAATAGAGACTTCGGAATGAGTGACATCGTCTTAATCAAAACCGGGCAAGTGTTCACTTGGACGAATTGTCGACGAGCATTCTGTAGCAGATCAACTCACAAGAGTAGTGCCAAGAGAGGCAAAATATTACTAATAGATCTGTAACGAAACTGTGCTATCTTGTCCCGATTGATACAAAAACAGAATAGTCTTTGAAATTGTCTATTGGATATAAACACTGTCTTCATGTAAATACTTCATTTTCTTTTTTCATTACTGAGACTTAGAAATTTACTTACACAAATTATACATAATTATATTAAATTCAATGACATTTGTTTGTCGTAAAAAAGTCTTGCAGCCTTTTTTGGTGGAACGAGATGTAAAAAATAGTACTACATTAAATTTATCAAATTAGTCGCAACATCAACAAGTTCTGTGGAGGGTAGTCGTCGTTCAATATTCATCCCGTGGGTGTCGTAAGAGCCGACTAAGGGAACAAACTACGCAGGACAACAGCACTTCAAAGAGAAGGAACACTTGAAACAAACCCTGTACCAACCCGTCTGGCCAGCGTGGTAGAGTGGACCAAAACCTAAGGAGAGGCTAAGTCCAGCAGTGGACTGTTATAGGCTGTTGATGTGAAGTGATGAAATGTACAAATCAAGTCTTCCAAAAGTTAAAATGATATCGAAATCAAGTATATGATGACAGTAATAAATAGGTGCTAATAAAGTGCTTTCAAAAACAGGAAATGATTAGTTAGTGTTCCCAGTTACAGGAACATCCATAACCTACATAACAGTATTTGAAAAATCATTTTTATTAAAGATTTATAGGCCTTAGGGATTAGATTCTTAGAGAAATCTATACATTTGGTTGTCCTGACTGACTGAAGCAAAACTGCGGCTAAAAACTAGAGATTTTGGTAGATGATGCTCTTTAGTTTATTTTGTAATGTAAAATAAGGGAAGAGAAGTTAGAAACAAGACATAAGAAATAATGAAGATTGACGCCGCGGGCAACAGCTAGTTGTAAACATATTGACAGAAAAGGTAGAGAGGAAGTAAGAGTGAGAAGGCAGAGGTAGGATTAGGATATTGGTCATATCTACGGATGAATCGGGGAGTGTAAACAACAGCTCGAGCAGGCGAGGCTCGCACACTTGCAGCTCGAATTTACTATTAACCAAAAATCGGTGGGGTCTTAATTATTGTTTTGAATAGGTTATTTATACCTTTGATCGACGTTTTCTAGCGACGGTGGCAGCCTCCGCCGTACAGGCTCGCGGGGCATCCTCCCCGCTCGTCCCGTTGGGCCCGGCGGCTGCGCTGGCGCCCGCGTCGCCCGGCTCTGCGCCGAGCCGCGTCGCTAGCATCGTGAGGAGTTCCTCCACTCGCCCGAGCTACACACCAATGTTGACTTTATGCGCAGAGTCACGCACTTTATTCGTTTACATAAATTGTGCCATGACCGCTTACTAAACCTGAACAAGGTGCAATTACTTATGTTTTTATGAACTACGTTTCGAGGTTGGTACTTAACCGGAATAGCTGTTTATTTCTTTAAACTTAGATGTTTATTGACCATTTTTTTTCTATAACTTCCAAAACTTTCCTTGTTTTTTCACCGAATGAGTGAGGTTACCGAAGCTCAAACTCTGCCCCTGATTCTGGGGCGAGGGACCAAAAGAGCGGCAACGCTTTTATGACTTGAGTTGCCCGCGTTCAAGGGCGGCGGTAATCACTTACCATTAGGTGACCCGTCTGCTCGTTTGCTTCCCTATACCAAAAAAAAGAAAACCGCTAGATGTACCCCTAATTTTTAAACATTGCAGCATTGGGCCCATTATTGGAACACACCCAGAACAGAGTTGGCGGCCTGAGACGATGGATATTTTAGTAACGAGAATTGAGGGGCTCACCTTCTGCTGTAACCTCTGCACTTCGGTACGGACGTCACGTCGCAGCTCGGCTAGTGCCGCATCGTGCGGCGAGGGCGCGGGCGCGGGGGCGGGGGCGGGGGCGGGCGCCGGAGGGGGAGCGGGCGCGGGCGAGGGAGCCCGTACGTTCAAGGCCACCGGTCGACGCTCCTCCAGTTCCTCCTCGATCGTGTCCTGTCGCGCACTCGTTCCGGTCACGCTCAGCGCGCTCGCCGATCGAGCTTTCGCAAAGGACGCCTGCGGTAGAAAATTTCGTTACCGTGCTCGGCCGAATCTGCAAATCTATCGAGAACTCGAAAACAATCGTCACCTTCAACATGAGTGCGGCGGCGGAGGGTACAGGGGTGGGAGCGGGGGCGGAACCGGTCGACGCTTCCGTCGAGGCACCAGACACGAGAGAACGGTCGCGGGCGCTCAGACTCCGCGTAAAGGCACTGCGCGCAGGCTCGCCGCCGGACGCGTCTAGCGAGCCCGTAGCCAACAGCCGCCCCCACTTGCCGCGGGCCGCGGGAGGGCCGGCGGAGGCCGTAGAGCCGGCGGCGGGCGCTCCATCTCCGCGCTCGGCGTCAGTCGCGCCGACTGCGGCGGTGGCGCTCGTCGCCGCGCTGTTGGCGGGCGCGGGGGCGGCGCGGGCCGGCGCCGGGCCTGGCGCTGCGGCTACACTTCGTTCACGGCGGAAACGAGAAAAGATCTTGCGTACGAGGTGGTCCTGCGCCTGTTCGAGTTGCGGCTCCCGCTTTCGCCGTTCCATCAGCTCTCGTTCGCGTCGCACGTCCGCCACCTGCGGAATCACACGATGTACGTTCAGACTAGGAGAAGTGCTCGCGACGGATAACGGGCGGCGAGGACCCACCTTGCGGAAGATTAGCCGGTGACGCAGGTTGTATGTGAGAGTGAGGTTGCGTGCGAAACTATTGGCAAAAGCCTGGTAGAAGTCTAGGACCTCGAGCAATCGGTCCCGTTTGATCGTGTGAAGGTCGCAGTAGGTGAGCGCGCGGACGTTGGCCGCCGACTGCCCGACCGCGCTGTCCTTCCAGAACGAGTCGCCGAACACGTCCCCTTTGCCTGCAACCGAGAGAGTCGCGTCGGTGAGCAGGTCGAGCGGGAAAGGAAATGCCGGTGTGGACTCACCTAGAATGGCGACGACTTCGTCGTCCTGGATGACCTCCAGGCTGCCGGTCACGATGAAGCACAACGAATCGATGGATTCGCCCGTGTGGTAGAGCAGATCACCGGGCGCCGAATGCGACATCTGGAAGTGCATAGCGAGCGCTCGCAGACACCCGTCGGACGCGAGGCGAAACGCCGGGTGCTCGTTGAACACTTTCCGGTTGAGGTGAACGCAAATATCTGCCTTCATATCTTTCGGGCAGTAGTTGAGCACCTGTCGGAAAGAAGCCGTGAGGCGAGAGAAGCGGAGGGAAGGGTGTGTCGGATGGGCGCTGCCGCGTACCTACCTTGTCGGTGTCGAGCCCCTTGGTCATGGCCCAGGTGGACACGACGTAATCCATGACGCGCTCGCTCAACGCCTTGGGCACCTCGTGCAGCTTCATAAATTCGCGCACGTTGTTCAGCATGTCGTGGTACTTGGCGGTGGCCGACGTCATTTGTTGAATGATGGTGGTAACGTGGCCGAATATGGTCGCGTACAGCAGAGCTGCCAACATCACAACGCTGACCGGTGAGCGGTAAGGCGTCGTGCGCCCGCCGCTCTACCGTTCTAAGTATCACGTCTACTTATCTAGCAGTTAGCCCTAGTCGATAGTTAGTCGAATACAACATACATATGGTTATTTATTGTGTATAGCTATGTTTAATTACTTAAGTACCTACGCAATTTACAATTTAGTAAGACGAGACGATTGTTACAGGAACAATTATCAATTAAAAACACATCATTTAAAGAAACGATAATAAAAAAACTGATTATCTTCACCCGGCAAAACGCATTTTCAATAACCGCTAAACAATAAGAAGTAAAAGATTTTTCAATTGAAATACTATTGGCGGTAGAATTTGAAGATAGTATGCAATTAATTGAAATGTAAAGCTTTTGACTATTTGATGCTGCATCATCAATTTAAGGTTGTCTTGTTAATACCACCGAAATAACCGTACACCAAAGCTTTAACAGTTAGACAAATGAATATTAAGTAGGAAATGAGCTGTTGGTCTCCAACCTCGTGAGTTGTCTGACCTCATAAATTATAGCTAAGGACCATCAGCTACCAGGCCACAGATAGCCACGACTTACACGTCAAACTTATGGCAGCCCTCTATTTGGTCGGGAGTTAAAAATAAAAATAAACGATTTTAAATCCATTCTTCCTACACATTCGTCTCGATATGACTAGTTTTGTTTAAGACATCACTAAGCATAAATGAACATATATAATTTATAGATGATAATTATGCCTATGGCACTAGCATTTCTTATTAGCAGGTAATGACCAATAAATAATAATTCTCAGTTTGCCAATAGTCTTAAACTGCTCACGGCTAGGCGTGTGTTTTCTGAGAGAAGATGGGAGAGGAAGGGAAAGGTAGAGAACTCGGGGAACCATTTTGTTTGAAAATCATCTAGATATCTTTGTTTTCGGGTATACCTAACGGTTGATTGTATCGTTCTGTCGCTAGTCGTAGTAATTTCTTTAGCATATGCAACAGACATTTCATTTATCAAATTATTATTCATACTGAATCATTATCACGATCGTTATTATTTTGTGAAGTTCTAAATTGAGTAAGTATATAACGCTGACACATACTTATAATTTTTTTTTTCTGATCCAATCCAAATCCAATGAACAAAAAGTTTCCATTCCACTGAGATAATAACTTCATGAGCTGATGATGAATTAGTTTCAGTTTTTCGATCATGTTCTGTACATGTTGTTAGTTATGAATACTCGTCTCCAGATCTCAAATCATAATTTGCCCATCCCACCATATGTTGAATGGATATACAATTTTCATGGTGTGCTCACCTGCGCGCATTGTGCGCGTACGTTTATCAACAAGATCGGCTATGTTAGCCATTCACGATCACACCAACGACAATTTGAACGGACTTGCAGCGGTTGCCGCGGCCGAAATCGGTCGAGAGTAATAGTATACAATTTTCGGTCGTCGCAGTAGTGCGACGTTGCAGGGCTTCAGGGCCTCCCTTACTGGAGCCCCATAAAGAGCAATGGACCGCACAACCCCCGAGTAGAGTCTCCTGCAGGAGTCATAGGTCCCCTCATGTTGGGCAGCAGCCGCGTCGACGCTACTCCAATCAGCTTGGGTCATTTCACCAATTGGAAATGTGATGTAAGTGACTTAACGCAATAGATGTTTCTAATAATGTTAACAAATTTATTCTCCATTGTTTTGATGTAAGCTGACGGGCACCTGAAAGTAATGACTACCGCCGCCCATTGACATCAGCAACTCAATAATCTGGTTACCTCAACCACTCGGTGAAATACTATGAAAGAGAGATATCGAGCTGACCCATACTTATCTGCCAAAGCATGACTCTCTCATTGTATCCCATATTTATGTTCTGAAGCTGCTTCAAAATACATGTTTAAGTCTCGATATAAACACTGTTTCTTTGTTTCATTAGTTGTTTGTAGTTAATTTTGATTAATAACAATAGTCTATTTTATTAAGGTAGTTATTTCCATTGGACATTCTCCCTTTATCTCATTGCACTGATTAATAGTCTGTTCTCCATCGTATGTACGCGTATTGTTAAAAACTGTAGTTGATATTTATTGTTCTACAGTTTTTAATTAATTTACATCAATATTTCGCGCTGCTCAACTTCGAGGTCCGTGTGGTGAGGGATTAACAATACGGAGTGTCACCACCCTTATACATCCCAAGGGAGCAAACTAAACAGGACAACAGCCCTGCCAAGGAAATGGAAAACTTGAAACAAACCCTGTATACTTATACAGGGTACTGGTTAAGTCGACCTAGATACTTTAGAATATTGTAGTGGCCATCATTTCTGATAGCTTTCACAAGGAAATACCATATCCCAAACCTAACCATTTACAAGATATTGGACTTTTCAGACAGTTTTATAAAAAATATTTATAAGAAATTTTGCCTAATACAACAATCACATTTTTATACAGGAAGTAGATATTATTGCTATTAAATCAATGTCATATGAATGTAGCTGAGGACCTGAGGAGCCATTGACTTGAAGCTAACTATATTATTAGATATTAATAGTGTAAACACATAAACACACACACGCACACACACCAATACACATTGACTAACGGCACGCTCTTAACACTTACTACTAGGCTTATTACCCACATCCTTTTGTTTGAGCCAAAGGTTAAGAAAACATTAATTGCTATCCTATCAGAGACTTGAAAGATACACAAAAATGAGTTATGATTGAAACACACAGAGGTAATGTGTAGAGTGTAAAACCGCGAGACGTACACGAGCCTTGTGACCACACAAGTGACGCGCGAACGACGCTTCGTGGGCTTGCACAGGGGATGAGGGCGAACAGGGACGGTACGGAACGGACAAAACCAACAAACAAATGTAAACAAATATTGAAGAGGAAGAGTTGAGGCTGGCGCGTGGTGATGCGAAACATGGCACACGGTGCGCACTGGCACTCACACGTGTAGTGGATGAGAGGGACAGACAGTTGAGCAGGTGAGGGTGGAGGTGGACGCGGCCCCCGCCGCAGGGCGCTGCGCGGGGGTCGCGCCGTGCACCGGCTAATAACAGAAGAATTCCGGCACCTGCCACAATCATCATGCAGATGGTGAAGATCTTCTCGTTATCGGTCTCGGCGGCGACGTTGCCGAAGCCCACGGAGGTCATGCAGGTCATGGTGAAGTAGAGCGCGGTCACGTACATGGTCTTGCGTGAAGGCCCGTTCACGAGTTCAGGCCCGTCCGACTCGTTGGACCACACATACGAGTACGGGCTCTGTGTGACGTTGGCTAGCTTCCACAGCCATGAGTACTGCAGGCCTGAATCGGCGTCGGAGCGTCCGATGCTGTACCACACGCACGCGAGCCAGTGCGCAACGAGCATGTAGAAGCAGAGCAGCAGGATAAGCATGGCGGCGCCGTACTCCAGGTACCGGTCGAGCTTGCGCACCACCCGGCCCAGCCGCAGCAGGCGCACCACCTTGAGCGCGCTGAACAGGCTGCCGATGCCCTGCACACACGACACGGTCGGTACTCGCGCCACACACTCACCTGAGCGCTCGCTCACATACTCTCGCAGCTACTCACATCCTCGTCGTGGTCGAATGCGTTGAACACGTCGTAGGGTAGGCAGGACAGCAAGTCTATGAGGAACCACGACTTGAAATAGTTCTTGCGGATCACTTTGGGGTCGCTCACCACTTCTCCACCCGGCCCCACGAACGTCGTGTGGAAGTTGAGCACGATGTCGATGAAGAAGATCACGTCCACTATAGAGTCAATGACGAGTAGCGACACGTCTTCGCTTGTCTTGTTCTTGAAGGCAACGTTGTAGGGTACCATGATGGCAGTATAGAAGGTGAGACAGAGGATGATCCAGTCCCAGATGGCTTTGAAGGCGCAGTAGTGCAGAAGGATGTGGGGCGGCGTTTTCGGAGCTTCCTGGCGGTACTGCGGTAGCACGTCGCCCGACAGGGACATCACCTGCCACATACACGTGCGTTATGCACAAACGTACTGAAGACAGCTAACACATACATACCACCACAGCTTGTGGCACTACAGCAGATATACGACTAATTGGCTGAATGCTAATTGGTACAATTTTGATTGGAGGTGTTCTATACGATATGTTAAATACCAAACAGAGTTGTAAATACAGCTTTATTTTCTCACAAAACTTTTACATGGAAGTAAAATTAATGATTTGTGCATTATAGTGGTGCTTCGGGCAAAAGTAGTAATATGTATTGTAGACTCTGCGTCATTTCCTTACTATGGGTGAAGAAGACCAATGGTAAGCAGTAAGTTCAATTGAAGAAAAGAACTAGAAGGCACTACATTTATCTACATAGTAGTAATATTATATTATATAAATATAGTATGTTATGTCTTTAGTTGATTATATGTAGGTCATGGTCTACGTGGGGCATACTGAATACTTAGTATTAAAGTTCCTTGTGTTACTAATGATATCTAGATGTTATCTTTCTTAGTACAACAGATATAAAACTCACCTGATAACGCACGTGCTCAGGCCGAAATCACTTACATCGGTACTTTCCTGAACTTGTAATTCACACTCATTACTCTAAATAACACCAGGGCGGCACTAGCAAGCTCTGTGCTATACCCTTGCCAAAATTAGAAGCGATGCGATCGCCCAGTTTTGCTAATACATCGTCAATGCTTACATACATCGCTGTTACTTAACTATTATGTAAAGTACCTCCTGCCGTCTGAATCTCTCACACTTGCACACAATTGTTCTATTAGTTATTTTGTGCACTAGTGTGAAGACTGTTTCTCTGTATGTATTCGAAAAATATATGTAATTTTTTAAAGTCATAATGAGTAATATAAAAAACAATGTAATATGCACGTATTTGTCTACTTAAGTTGTGTTTGAGCCCATAGTACACACTCGGAAGAGAATTGGATTCTAAGTTAGTAAAACTGCCAGTTTGCGCCACGTAGTTCACGTTTATATATTACTTACTAAGGAAACAACCTGACAAATGTCCTTTTGTCGTGTACAATCAACAAGCGTCAGGTCCTCAGCGGTTAGCGCAAATGAACAGCAAGAAACAGTACAGTAAGAGTAGAAGAGCGTGCGTGTTTACATGGAGTGCGGTAGTACTGACATGCGCCAGGTGGCTCTGCCGCTGCGGCTCCTTGAGCGCGGGCAGCGCCGACACCAGCACCGAGCGCGAGCGCGTCACTGATCGCGCTAGCTTGGCGAACTTGGACAGACCTGCGTAAACATACACTACACACTCCTTCAAATATTCAACGCTCATTGGGGAACGCACACAAACGTCAGTGGGAGTTCAATCCGCGCAAGTGCACACGGAGCCAGCACTCACCTCCCTTGGGGTCGTCAGCGTCGATAGGCTGCTTGAGCGCTGTGATGTCGCGGAAGGTGAGCAGGAACAGAACCACCAGCTCGCGTTCATTGCGGATAGGAGCCACATGCACCAGCAACCATAGTGGAGTGCCTGTGGCATAAATCATAAGACCTATTAAGGCTGACAAATGCCCTTGGTTCCTTACCCTCAACAAAAATTTATGTACTTACACCACTTTTGCTCCTCGATGAAGAATGTATTGATCTCAGTACGAAATAGTTGTCAAGAACTTTGCATGTTCAACTTTTATTGGATCTAAGACGTGCCACGTTCGAGTACTAGTCAATCCACTAATGTCGTGGGTTTAAGTTATTGACCTGTACGCCAAGTATCGATCCGGAACCCCTCGCACAGAAGATAAATCGTGTTATCTCAGAGTTGTCATAGCACTTGAAATAGTTTACACAGTGTATTACATTTACATACATGCTTGTATCCCCGAAAGTGTCAGCTCGTAGGCTCAACTATACATTTAGGCAAGGCATAAGGAAAGATAAAAGGATACATTATTTTTAAAGGGTTAAAGGAGGGGTGTTAGCAACGGCTCGAGAAGATCATGGTCGCAAATTGACTGGATGGCGTAGTGGTTTGTGTAACGGACTGCTATTCCAAAGGTCGCGGGTTCGATACCCGCTCAAGTCAAACATTTGTGTGCATGAACATTTGATGTTTGATTTGGTCTGGGTGTTTCTATGTATAATATGTATGTATTTACAAAAAAAAAGTATATATGTATTTATATCAGTTGTCTAGTACCCATAGTACAAGCTCTGCTTAGTTTGGGACTAGATGGCGTTGTGTGTATGTGGTAGAATATATTATATTATATTATTATTAAATCTGTCGCTCGACCTGGCTTTTGACGGGAAATTCGTACCTCAGGTACAAGCTTGCCGAGGAAAGGTCATTCAGAGCTATTGAAAAAGTCAGGTGTCATTGTTTAAAGTGCAAGTAACTGTTGTGTAAAGGTTACGTACGGTTCTTTTTGTACAGAAGTATTTCGAACTGGTCAGCGAGGTGGTGATCGAGCGCTCGATCCACTCGGTCTATTGCTTCCTTCTCTGAGAGCTCGCCGTACATCCACGTGCAGCGGCACGATTTCTGCATCACCTCCGCGCGGTTGTAGCCGCTCATCTTACAGAACGTTTCGTTGCAGTACACGATCGGGTAGTCGACGATCTGGGCGTTCGCCAGCAGGAAGCTGCTGTCTGCTACACACAAGCAAGCACATACACACTCAGCAAAGAGTTACTTCATCGATGCGGTGTATTATTCCATTTAAGTAGGTATTTCGATGTATTTGTTTGTGGTTTATAACGTTTAAAGTAGTAAGCGAAAGCGAATGTACTAACGCTGCGACGAAGAACGGCGGATGATGTTCTCGAGGAAGGTGTTCTGCGGGGCGACGAGCCCCCGGCGGCCGCCCGGCATGCCGCCGCGCGCCTCTATCGCCGCATGCGCCGCCGCCGAGCCGAGCACCTACCCCGCGTCACATGCCTTCATTCACCTGTTCGCAACATTTACTCATTATGACATTGCTCACTTTCAACAAATAGTAATCAATAAGTTTGTCGCATAAAACTATGCGGACGGTACGAGGATGGTCATCGGCTACCTGATGATGCAGTTGACTTTCAAATTTGGCTGCCATTACAATCTGGTAGAGCCCTAACAATATTCGATTAGAATGGCATTTCTTTGTTATCGGTACCCTATTTACAGGTTTGAAGAACTTGGACGACGAACAGTTTGTAATGTTCAATGTATTTGTAAACAAACTAAAAATATTTCGAAGCTACTTTAATCTATAATTTAAAAACCCGGTCATTGTAAGTCGGACTTGATCTAGATATGTGACGAACAAGGGGTTGGAAACAACCCCTTGTTCGTCACATATCTAGATCAAGTCTACGTTATCAAGCACCGATGACAATACAATCATTGAATAAATTTGTCCGGTTATCCTAATCAGGATCTTCAGGTATTTGTTTACTTAAGTTTAAGATTCAGAATTACGGTAGTGTCTTGTGCCACGTACTAACGCGTGTACATGTATGTGACACACTTTCTTGTTGCTTTTTTAGTCTTTAATGAGAAAATAATTACAGTTTTAAAAAAAGCGAGTCGGTCTCGCCCACCGAGGATTGCCTACAAATTTGTTGGTACATTTTATAAATAGTATTTCAGGAATCGAGTCTCGCCATTTCTTCCGTTCAGTTTCCGAAACCTATAATTAATCAAATCAAATCAACCCATAATTACTTTCATAATTGTGTTGTTATAAGTGAAACTGTGCCTCGATGATTGATTAAGTACTTTAAAAAAATACTTTACTTGATGATTTAATTACAAATGAATAGCTTTCAGATTTTTCCCCAAACTTGTAGTATAAAACGATGTTACTTGCCAATTGCCTAAACCCTATAAATATGTTTTTCCCTTGAGAGTGTTGAAATATGCGTTTTTTTTTTGCGGCACGAACGACCGTATTTTTTAGGCGTTTTCATTATAGGTTAAATTAGAAGTTTCATTATTTCATTCAAGGGACTGTAGACCTGGGTTTATGGTTTTAATTTCAACTCGATGCCTCTTTGAAGTGGGTACCTATGGAGCACCAAAATTCGACCCAATGTTCTGTCAACTTATATTTCCTACTCTCACCAGACGGTATCTTTTTTTTTAGTTAACGGGGTGAAAAATCCCTTCTTATATCCTGCTCCTCGGGCGCAGGAGCCAGGAGTATGTGGTGATTCCACTAAAAACCACCCCGATGGACGGCCTCAGGCCCTACTCTGGGAGGAACCGGACCATGTTATTTCAGGTCCTCCCCGAATTGACACCATGCGTAATCGGGTCCTAACCCAAGGGAAAACACTTCCCAGGCCGCCATCCCATCCCCTATACCAGACGGAATACATAGGTCATCTCTTAAATTTTAAACCGACTTAAAAAAAGAATGAGTTTCTCAATTCATTTGTTTTTTAGTATGTTTATTATACGATTTCTCATGTCACGTCCGTCCGTTCTCATGTCCATCGTCACCAAGTCAGTATCTGATAATGGGATCCCAGAGAAATCGAGGAAACCCTCAAATTTTTCAAACCGGTCTAAGTTTTTTATCTTTCTTCTCAAGCCATGTATTTACTTTTGGCAGTCTATCTCATGTGAGCTGAGCTGATAACGGGGGGAATCCTTGACTTTTAGGATTAAGGTGATAATTCTTTCAATTCTATTCATAAAATGTGTTACGCTATATACTCATTTGTTTGTTACCACATAACTGCGCCATTTTGACAAATTTGAAGAAACTTAAGGAATGATTTATTACAATCCGTAATGATGATGGAGGGGCATTGGTGTCAAAGATACTTTGTAAAAGTTAAGTATTGATAATTCTGATTGCTGATGTAATGTAAAGCATAAGTTCGTTAGAAAACAGATTGTACCTTTACTAAACGCTCTACACGTTATATCCGTTCAGATCTCAATGAACCCAACAAGGAGAGACTGCGTTCTCTAACCTGCACAAACATGTTTGTTTGTGTTCGACTATCGCCCGAGTGTCGACGATTGCTCGCATCCGCGATATTGATTCCTTTTAAATGTTCATATTAAATGGAAATAGGCAATGTTCCAGTTCCAACAAACACAAAAATCAAACCTGCAGGTTGCTTGTAATACATACATTTTATTTTATTGTTGTGATGGTTTCTGCAACAGAGACCGACACGTGCGCACCTAATGCTGTTTTCTACATTACTGTATAAATATGTAGTATAGGTTCCTACGGCTTAATGGTCACTGTCCACACATCTACACACAGGTACCTGGAGAACGCAATTGACCAAGTAGAAGGTGACGCAGGCCAGTCAAGTAAATGATTCACATAATATCCTGATAACGGCTGCATTACAATGTTGAACGACGGCACTATGGTGCTTAGGACAAATTTTAGAAACACAACTCAAACTGTCTTTTATAGATTAGAAATGTTCGCTAATACGAAGGTAGCCGATGTTACATTATCATTCGAAAGCACAGCGCCAGCTCCAGCGGCAGCACTCACAGCATTTTGAGGACACCAAGTAACCGTGGCATAGCGAGCTACCGTCGATGGGAGAGGCTCCCACTACTCAAATATAACAGGTAATTTCGAGTATGTAGTTCAATAAGTTCGTGTACAATGTCACCTCGGACACTATCGACCTGACGCAATTTGCTAATTTTATAACTGTCTGGTGATTTAAAAGAGCGACCGTGAGCTTGTTTGTTCAACGACTCAACAATTTGTAACGCCCAGTTATAGACCGACACAAGGCGATACAGTTTTATCTGTTATATTTTTATTTAATTATTTTACTATTGACAAAGCTACTTGTTTTCTAAATCAATTTGCTAATTGTTGTGTAGACTTTGTTTGTGTTGATCTATACAATACTGCAGTTATTTTAACATTATAATTTAACAAATTGCTTCATTCTTTGTTCTACTTTCTATAAAAATCGGCAACAAAAAGTGCCAATACAATTAGCGAGGGTCACGTGATAGGCAGTGACGTCAACTGCTGCTTGCAAACAATCATATTGTCTTTGCGCAACCTTGCTCCTATCATGCTGAGAGGTTTGCGCTATCAGCTTTGACAAGATTCCTACTTTTAAAAACAGTTACCAATAATCTTTTACTTTTATCGACAATAAAAGATAATACTGGCAACAACAAAGAAGTAACACTTCGTTGTACCGCTCACGACATCGACTGTCAACAAACAATTGACGTGTACCTTGTATTGACGATTGAGCTAAGGTAGCCGAGTATCTTCCTATCTTAGATCTTTATTTTATATTTCATCTAAGGAGGTTAGGTGTCCGTAAAAACGATAAAGCTAGTTAATGCTAGCCAGAGGTTCAGTGCGTAGCAACCACGCTGCTAGTTCCGCCCTAAGTGAGACTAGTTGCTGCTTTCATGACCTAGCAATCTTCAGGGACTAGCCAGCTAGGAAGGCTTGGATGGCGATAGCCTCGCAGTCCCTTTCTAATCCTCACTTAGGGTTGTACATACATATATTGCAACATTAGTAATTAGCTGCTAGAATAATAGAAGCAAATAGTGGATCAATGGGGCTTTTAATTTCAACACCAGCAGCCCTATACAACATACTGTGGTGTTGGGTTAAAGGTGTTACTACCCTACAATTTAGCTATACATACATACAAAACATTTAGCCATATTTTTATGAATTGTTTTCGGGTGTTATTTTATCAATTCATGTTATATGTGTTAAAGACATAAGTATTTGACAATATTTATTCCTTGTCACCTACCTACTAATTACTTTACTGCAGTAACGTATTAGAGGCAACCGAATCAATATAACCTAATCGCATAAACAACGTGTCCACAATTGTACTCCCGTAGTTATTGGTCACGCGCAGTACTCGCGCCATTCAAGGCCCTGAACAAACATATTCTTAACCTGATTACATCAATGTATGTAGATAATCTTCGATGTAATAGTTCGATGATCAGCCATTAAAATTTATGTCAAAAGAATACGTTTGTTACAGTTGGATAGTTGCCCTTTGTTTAGGTAACTGTAACACTCAAACTAGAACTTTCTGACCAACTCTAGCTGTCTTCTAACACTGCTACCCACAAGACCGAGGTACATCCTGGCGCATATAATACCTACAGGCACTTATAATAGTAACGCGGTACCAATACGCGTCCCTGAGCCCGAATGTAACCTGTTCCAGTTTGTGTATAAATGCATCAACCCAAATCTCTTCTCACACGTTGTTCAGGTCTTAGAAACGATATCAACGCGCGACACGCGAGTCACCTCCAAGAGATTGAGCTATCGAATCGAACGTAGGTGGCACACAACATACTTTGCTATTTCATATTAGTATATATTCTGTTCCGTTTGGCGTTTACGCATGTAACATATTCTACCTCCGCCGACATGTTTACACCGTTACGAAATGTATATCCATTACACCTGTCTGTGTGTTGTATGTATTTTTTATTGAAGAGCAGGCAAACGAGCGAGGTGAGCCACCTGATTTAAATTCACTACCGCCGCCCATGAACGTCTGCAACTCAGGCGTTACAAGCTCCTTGTCGGCCTTTGAAGAAGAGGTACACCCTTTTCTTGAAGGTCATATCGGTCAGGATATACTTAAAATGACATAAAAGAATACTCGACTAATGACAAATGCCGCTCTACGATATACCTCAGCGTAGTCCGGGCGTGGAGGAACTACCTACACGTCATTACCAAACAAAGTATCGATTTATGTATTATTTTACACAGCTTCACGTGCACGCCGAAAAGTGAAGAGCGGCCGCCTCGATGCTGTGGGGGTGAAGCCGACGCTCGGATTTCACGACGCGTCAGGTTATGCTTAGGTCTATAATAATGTGGCTCGACATTCAGACGATACATACCACGTAAAGTCATATATAAATCCAAAAAGAGCTACGAGGTAGGGCGGGTGCGGTGGTATCCACTTGTGAATGAGCGTGTACAAATGTGAGCCCCGCTAAGTGCTCCCGATCGATCGACGGCTAATCTGTATGTAATTGTTGAATAAATTCTGTAGAATATATTTGTGTGTTACAATAGTTGAGCTTATTGCCGTGAGTTACACC